AGATGTGTAATTGAACAAAGTTAACACATGGATGTATAAAATACAAGGTCATCACCAATACAACTGTTGCTATGCAAATTTAAATTTCCTATTTTTCATAAAATAAGTATATAATGAAGACCTAAAGTATAGCAATAAATTAGTATAGCATTTATGAAAAAATGTTTATTAAATATCCTAAGATAACACAATTTAGTAAAAAGCAAGGTCATCAAAATGAAAGAAAAATGGGAAGATATGTTGATCAAATCTTAAGTCCCTAAACTAATGTTTAGTCTCAGTCTATATAGTCTTGTTGGAAATTTCACATCGATACCTATGTCTTAGTTATGTCCACTTTTTAGTTTTTCAATTTCATGCCATGTCTTTTAATTCATAAACATATCCTAGCCCATTCCACCATCAGATTCTTCCTCTAATTCTAGTAGTAAATCTGTCACCTGCCACTACTGTAGGAATCTAACATTGTTGCAACTCTAAATATTCCAATGATTGGATTGGATTGGATTTATTCGGTGTAAACACCAAAGAGAGCCCTTGAAAGTCTAGAAGAAGACTTATTTCCAGTGGGGTCCTTCTGGTGGTGATTGGACAGTACACCGGGAGACAATCCCTACTCTTTTCCGAAGAGTGTACTGTGTTCTTTAACGTGCACATGTCCATAAATGCACACGAGACCAACGGCTTAAACGTCTCATCCGAAAGACGGTGCGCTATGTAACTTGTATTTCAGCCCTCTAGCTGAAACACAAGGAGAGGCAGCGATGGGATTTGAACCGGGGACCTAGATCTCCACGGTTCAGCGCACACACAGTGGCTACCACCAGATTAGCCGACTGAGCTAAACTGCTCTCTCTATCTGATGATGATGATCCGTGTGAATTCTCCTGCCCAACAGTGGTATGAATCTGCAGTTAAAATTTAAAATATCGGTATGAAACTTATTACTTATTTTATGAAAAATTAGAAAATTTTAATTTGCATAGCAACGGTTGCTATAGTGATGACCTTGTATTTTAATACACCACTAAGTTCACTTTTCTATAAAAGCTGTTTATCGTATAAAAAATATTGTATAAGCCAATCTAATAATATTTTTCTTGAGATAAATAATAACAGTAATTATGTGAATTTCATTCGTTGCTATGGAGTTATAAAAGTTCCGTAGCACTTCAATAAAGGTGTTTCTTGATTTTTTTTTGATTTTTTTTTTTATATTGCTCTTCCATAATACATAACCTAAATACAAAAATATTCATAAACCTATGACAATGATGATTTCAATAAGCTTTAAGCATCCCTTATACTTAAATTTCATGAATAAAATAGGAAATTTAAATTTGCATAGCAACAGTTGCTATGGTGATGACCTTGTATTTTATACGTCAATGTGTTAACTTTGTTGAATAAGAGATGTTTATTAAATACAAATATTGTACCTCATGATTTTTGCTTAGTCAATGACAAATGTACAGCAATTCTGCTGATTTTGCTTCCTTGCTATGGACGATAAAAAGAGTGTTGCTATGCAATTATATCAAAGTTTCAGCATTTTTTTACATAATCCTATTCTATGACAATAATATATAATTCAGATGTTAAACATATTCATAAAACCTATGAAAATTAAGATTTTAATAAACTTTAGGCTTTCTGTATACTTAAATTTCATGAATAAAATAGGAAATTTAAATTTGCATAGCAACGATTACTATGGTGATTGAAATTGTAGTTTTTCTTAACACAAGATTCATTTTCGATGATTAACGAATATTTTGAGTACCTTGAGTACCGGTACCAATTGCTGATAATTATTATTCGAGTAATGTTATATTTTATATAACTTAGCTAAAACTTAAATTTAAAGCGGAAAAATGGTGGCCATTTTGAATGCGTAATTTGGAGGTGTTCCCCCAAAGGGATTTTGGGTAATTTTGAGTTCTGAACCTCTCAAGACCTATATTTTCAGTTAAATATCGAAATTAACTGGTAGTACTTCCATTGCCACCTCCACCACAATAGCCTCTAACTGGCCTATACCAAGTCCTCGCAAATATACCTAGACTGGGTTCCAGTCCCTAAACTTTGTATTAATCAGTAAAAAAGCTGGAAAAATCGATTTTGGCACCAATGGCGTTCCAAATTACCTATTTGCTTGGCGTTTCATAGTATACTTTTTCTTGGATTAATTCCATAGAGATATAATAAGAATACTAGAGCGCTAATTAATGTACTCGATGTTCGAAATACGCAGAACTGTGTGTGTGTACCATCCAAGATGGCTGCCATAGATTCAGCCAATCAAATTTCGCCTAAGCACTATCATTTTCAATGGCGTCCTCAATTTACACAGAGCGTTCAGTACAGCTAGTTACCTGTATGTATGTTTAAAACTCGAGTGTTGTTTTAGCAAACAGAACCTAATTTTGCACCAAAACATTTTGCGTGATATTGGTAAGTTAATGTTTGTCTAGTGATAACGCATTCCGATTTAACTCCGAAACTATCGACCTTCTTTGAAAGATAATGCGATCGTTATGTATATATCTTATAGGTCTTACCTACTGATTGATTGCTCAGCTAGAAATCTGTACGTTTGTATTTGCTTTTGCGCATTTCACATCTGTGCATACAAAGATATCATAATCAAATATCACCTAAATGTCTAGGTTTATACATGTAGGCCTATAAAAACAAATGTTGTAAAATATTATGTTAACTAAAGTGGTGTATGCCTACTAATTCACAACCGATCAGACTAAACAGTCGATACTAGAAGTTTCAGGTAGGCCTAAGCAATTATACCATTATAATAACTCCTCCCATTCGTTTTATTTTTAAAGTTTATATCAAAGAAGAGTAACCTAGACAATTTCACTTCTTATCATGTGTTTATCATCAGGTTTCCAAAATATATTGAGGTAATATGCTAGTGAACATAGATCTATAGTGTAAAACTTGGTCGAGTCGGTGTGAACGCAACATTGTCAACGTTATGAACGTTTTTAACCGTTGGCTTAACTGTAGATTTAAAAGTCTTAATACTTAATTAAATGTAGTAACCATTCTTCATCCTTCAAAATGTCCATTTCTTCTTCAGATATTAGTTATATGAAAACAGAACTAAATAAACCACGATGGCCACAGGAGATGAATATCGTGTTTCGAATTTCAATCAATCCAGCAAAAAGTTCGGAGCTAGCGGCCTAAATGTCAATAATGCTCACGACGTGAAAGAATTTAACGATGAAGTTTTCATTACCGATACAAATAATCATCGAGTTGTTGTGACTGCCCTGGACGGTTCACTACGACGTTATATTGAATGTCAAGATGAATCACTAAATGGAGACTTTGATCCATGGGGTATTGCCATTTCAGTGACCAGTGAGATGTACGTTACCGATATGAAAAGTCACGTAGTCCTAAAGTTTGATACCACAGGGAAACTAAGTCAGAAGTTTGGTTCTGCTGAATTACAGAAACCGTATGGAATCGCGATGGCATCCGCGAATGCGCGCTCGAAGATATTGGTGGTCGATTTAAAGCGTTGCTGTGTGTGCATTTTTAATCACGGTGGTATATTATTGAGGGTATGCGGACATCGCGGTAAAGGTCTAAATGAGTTAGACGTACCACGGCTTATAGCTCTGAACAGCAAAGGGAATTGGATCATTGCCGACTATGGCAACCGCCGGTTAATCATCATCGAAGGTGAAGATAATCCACCGCGGAGCGTGTCAATAAAACCGGAGAATAGGAATTACTTAGTCCGAGGAGTGACTGTTGATGAAAAAGACAACATAATTGTCAGTGTTATTTCGCATAAAACACCGATGATAGGCAGACACTGTAGTGTATTGATGTATAACTCAGAATATACCTACATGGGTTGTATTTCTAAGCCTACCGATGTATATATGCCCCGTGGTATGTGTGTCACACACAAGAATGAGGAAAAGTCTCTTCTTGTGGCGTGTCATGATGGAATTCATCAATATACATTTGTGGAAACGACAAGCCAAACCAGTCACTCGTCGGAAAAATCAATTATTAGTTATTAATACAAGGTTTAACGGTAAAATGAGTGCTATAAAATGGTAAAAGAATCATTTAAATCCGACACTTCGTTATGAAGTTACACGAGTTTAATCATACAGCTGTTTAAAGAACAATATTTGAGGAATCAGCCTTCAAAGTTTACGATTTCAGCCAGAGGCAGAAACCATCACCAAATCGTTAAAAATTGTTGTTTTAACATTGAAAATGAGGAAAGTAATAGCATAGCATGATGTATAGATATATAAAGGTTAGTTTAGTGCAATAAAATAGATTTCCAAAATTTTGACATTCCAGCATGTTTTGGCCATTATCTCCAAAACGGGATTTGCGACGAGTGACTGGTTTGGCTTGTCTTTGCCAATTTCTGTTGACAAAGATAGCTAGACAATATTTTTCGTTCGGTCTTGCTGAGAGGCTTTAATTTTTAGTCAATAACGGCAATATGCTGCCCAGCAGCAAATAGAGATCGAAAATTAGCTTAGTTACTGAAGGCTAAAACGGTTATGTATGTTGTATGCCTATATAATAGAAATGTTTTAAATATGAAATTCAGAAAACTAAATTTATTTGTTTTATTTCAGTAATTCACGTTAACAAAAAAATAATAATAGACGAAACTAAACAATGATTTAAAGAAGATCGAAAAAGAAAATGCATTAAAATACTGGATGTAGTTTTATTCTGTCCATAGACTAAAGTAATAGAAACAATATTAATATGTTTTGTCTTCAAAAAAATTGAGTGGCCTAGGATATGTAATGGAGGTTTAAAACTATCCATACTTTAATCGCTGAAGGTTGTTGATGGATATGCTGTGAAAGTTGCACAGGCAATGTTAAAAACAAGTGGAAATTGATAGATCTAGCTAATTGACTTACGTGCTTGGTCATTGATCATCTGTATAATTTTTTTTTTTTACAAGAACACTTCTTACAGAATATAGGTATTAATACTTGCGGTACACCACGTAGATAGTTCTAAAAAGCTGAAAAGAACTGTTGTTGGTTGAGAATGTCACGACGTTTCGATTGAGTTGCTTCAATCGTCTTCAGGAGAATAATATCTATAGCAAATTCCAAACACGGAAATACTTATATGTATGGGTATAGTGAGGCTTCCTGTTGATTGGTGGAAAACTAAACAATGTATGAGGATACGTGTGAAGAACATTTCTTTATACGTTACGATATTTGAGATCTTGAAGTAAAAAGGGATATTTGTGATTGAAATAAAGTAAATTTAAATGAATGATTATTTGCCTGTATTATAATACCTTCCTCACCTGAGGCGTGCGTGAGTAATCATTGGCGGGCTTCGTATCTTAAATTACCAAAAAACCGGTGTAGTGACGCTATACTTAAAGTTGTCTGTGTGGTTTATTAAATTGATGCATAGTTATATACATATGTAAATGTCTTATAATGTCAACGTATTAAATTGTTTTACTTTTTGTAGGCCTATCTACTTTTTTTATTTGTGAGACAAAGGCCTACGTGGAACCAACTACATAGGCCTATATAAAGAGCATGATGTAATCCACGTGTAATCCACGTGTGTTCCTTAGATGTGTGACACACATGCTGAATAAGACCCGAGGACGGGTTGAAATATTCATGTTTTGAATAAAATTTGTGTTTAAAGTCTACCAAG